CCGGTTCAAATCTCACCGGTTCAAATCTCACCGGTTCAAATCTCACCGGCTCAAAGGTTGACTCAGCCTTCCATCCTTCCGAGTTGGGTGAAATGAGGACCCAGACTGTGGGGGGCAATATATGCTGACTCTGTAAACCGCTTAGAGAGGGCTGAAAGCCCTATGAAGCGGTATATAAGTCTAACTGCTATTGCTATTGCTATTTGAGTGAGGGTCCCGAAGGAATGAAAGCAATCCAAGAAGCAGGATGTCAGCAGGTGCCATTTCCCCCCCACACCCTCTCCCCACTTCTAAATATACAGGGAGAAAAGGTTCAAAGTCGCAACGGAACAAGTAGCAACCACAGAATGTCAATCAGCACCTCGTAAAAGCGTTTGGAGAACGAATTCTCGGCTTCTGAACAACTCAGGGAGGACTCAAAACTATTGATTCCGTTGGTTGTACCAGATGGGGAAAGAAAAAAGCCTGCATGGTTTTATTTAAGCTAAGGACTTTCCATGCTTGCCTCCCAAATTAATTGGTCTTCTCCAGGCCAGAATTCCTACATTCCCCTCTAAAATGCACCTGTTCCAGCGGTAGCCAGTGGTGCATTTCGAACAATGAATTTACTCCAGCGTATAAATGTACAGGTATAATCTCAGTTGGATAATTAAGCAATTTGAGAAACTGGTTTCCCATCAACCTTTCGTATTTATTTGGTACGCGCTACAGTGACAGCTGTCAGTCACAAAAGCATTTATTGGTATGTTCTGATAAAAAGGTTAGGCAACTATGGACTCTGTATTTTATTTCTTGTGGACCAACACTTATATGTTATAAGCATAGTTAGCAGTTTTTTCTTTCTTTAAATAAGTCCTGTGCACATTGTTAACTGCAGGACTTTATATAGCTGATCCCTCCAATTATTTAATTTACTTAATAATTCTTAGTCCATCTATGCGTTAAGATATACAGCAAGTTTTGCAGCCATGCCTGATCTAAAGCCTTCTAAGTACTTTGAGTTGGATTAAAACGCTCACAATTTCCTTTATTCGTTTTAAATCACCCAACTTGTCCGCACCTCATATAAATGCATTATAAACTTAGATATCCCTCCCTGTTCAGTAATTCCACGAACATGTTCTACAGGGGAGGCTTTTAAAACACATGACTGTCTTAAGAAGAGAACTAAACTCATTTAAAGAGTTCAGGGTTCTATTTTGGTTTAAAAGAAAAAAAAACACACACACACACCAAATCCTCAGAAATGGAAAGAATTATATAAAATGCCAATAGTATCACAACCAGCGACCAGGTTTGTAGCCTGTGAAACAAACTAAGTATTCTTGGCTCTAATGAATTAATTCGTTTATCTAAATGGCGTCTTTGAGGCATCTTTACAGCCACTGCTTTACGAACAGGTATGCTTCAAGGAACGTTTTAAATGGACTATATGCAAGTTATAGGCTTTTTCTCCTGGTTGGAAATTTAGCAGAGAAATGCTGCCACAGCTTAGCAGGACTTAAGAAGCCACGAAAGCTGAAGGAGATCAGATGGCATGTTCAGACTATGGCCCAGATGGGTACCACAACCCCCATGTTCCTGGAGCAGTTCCTGTTCACAGCAACTAATAGAAGCAACTGAAAAGTTATTTTCTAGGGGGTGCCTGTTGCTTCTGCTAAAAGCCTGAAATGCAGAGAGAAGACGAGTGGGGGGAACTTAAAAACCTCCCAGCCAATTCAGCCACAAGCCGCTAATGGGAGGGGATTGCTCTGAACCAACTTATGCGACTCTTTCAAATATCTGTTCGCTTTACTCACCTGTGTCAACTTACCTGCGAGGAATATAAACAATGCAAAGAGAAGGGCTGGTAGAGATTTGCCTTCAGTTGCAACAGGAGCTAAAAACATCAAACCCCACAAGGAAAGCTCTTACAAACGGTTTTAATGCGCATTTTAGACAAAAAAAAAGGCATGAATGCAAAAGCTCACGAACCTTTTGAGCTACGAGAGGAAGTTGCGAGCACTAACTCTTAGGTGGGGAAAACCCTCCTCCCCCCCCCAAATACTGGTTGCAGGGGGCGGGGAAACCCCCGTTCCCACAGAAAGATGGAATCTGATCACTTTGATGGTCTTCGGGGTTTATTTTATTCTTCCACTCAGAAACAAGGATCCACTGGGAGCCAAATCCCAGCCAGAGAATGGACTCTCTCCTACAGCTCCATGAGAGTCCATGGAAGACATGAGAATCTATTATTTGGAATTTTGAAGCGTGTAACCAGTTGTGGATTGCTAAGAAAAGAGAGCTTTGTGTCTCTTTCTCAGCTTTATTTTGGCTACTAAATTTTGGCTACTACATTCAGAGCTAGAGAAGACTTCTTTGAGCAAGGAGGCACAATGTTCTGGCTGGAGGACACTGCTAACAGCTTGTAGACTCGACTTGGACTGAAGCTGCAATCATTAAATTGCAGGCCGACACATTCCTTTACCTCCACGGACAAAGTAATAAACCGGACAAAGTAATAAACCGGACAAAGTAATAAACCGGACAATGTCGGCCTTCCTCCCTTCCCCCTCCGTTAATCTAGCAAAAGGGAAACAAAACATACCCAAAATTNGGGCAGCATATAAATATAATCAAATCAATCAATCAATCAAATTCAGACAAATGGCCATCCAACATCTTCTTAAAGACAACTTGGACTTTGGTTTATCTTTTGAAGATGTTTCGCTTCTCCTCCAAGAAGCTTCTTCAGTTTTGAACAGGTTAGTAGTATAGTTCCATTCCCCACCTTCCTGTCAGAGTGGAAGAAGCTTCTTGGGTTAGAAGCGAAACGTCTTCAAGAAGGAAGAAAACGAGGTTCAGTTGCCCCCCGCTAAAAAAGCACCTTTGGGCCTTTGGATCTCTGTCTTTGGCCAGTCAGGTGAGGTCTTTTGGTTTGCGTTAAAGGCAGAACGGGAAAATGGCAATCCGTTTACACCGGCAGTTATCCAGAATCAAGAGCCCCTTCTCTGGGTTTCCCGCAAGTTTCCCCAAATCTCAGCCCGGCGGAAGGCAACCAGGAAGAAAACTGCCAGCGATGGGGCTCCTGCCTGGCTCCCGCTAGCGAGCGAAAGAGCGCTCCCCGTCCCTCTTCCTCCCTCTCCCCGGACGCCTCAAAGGGAAGAGACGGGGGGGAGAGGAACCGGGGATTCCCAAGCACGCGGGGCAAACGGCGTCGCCCTCCAGACTTGGGGTGGGTGGGTGGGTGGAAGCTTGGCGAGCCCTGCCTGGTTTTTTTAGGGGGTCGGAGAGAGAATCCAGCCTCCTCCTCAATTGTCACTGCGGTTCTACCTGGGTTTTCCGCCAGGAAGGACGCGTGGCGCCCCTTCCCACCACCGCCTAAGCGAGCCCCCTGCGAGGTAGGCCTGGAGGGGCACGCCCAAGCCCCACCCCACCCCCATGTGAAGCGGCGTGGGAAGGCGAGACTCGCTGCCGCTCCGGCGAGGGTTCTTTTGGGGTTCCCCCGCCGGCAGGCAGGCAAGCAAGCACAAGGCCGGCGAAACCGCGGCTTCTTTCGCAAACTCAGCGGCGGGCAGGCGATCCGCGCCATCGGGGAGCGGGGGGAAGCCTCGTCCCGGGTGCTGGCTCCCTCAGTTCTGCTGATCCCCGGAGGGCGCGCGGAGGGTTGCGAGCGAGAGCGGGATGCCCAGCCTGGCAGAGGGCAGGGTGGGGCCGCCTCGACGCCGCGCGCCTCCTGTCTCTCTCCCTGGGACGGAGCGACTGGCGGGGGCGAACGAAAAGACGCGCCACGTCGGGACAGGCGCTTCCCAGGAGCCCCGGCAGAAGCGGATAGACCGACGCCTCTCCTCCGCGGGGGAAGCCGCAGCTGAGCGCCCAGCCGCATGGGCCACGAGGTATCCCCAGGAAAGCGCCCCCCCCCCCCCCCCCCCC